TAAGAAGATTACATATAAATTACATTAAAAAATAGGCTCATGGCTTAAGTAACAAAGTGACACAGATCTTTTGTTTAATTGCTACCTTACTATTCTTAATCTATCTTCTTCCCCTAACAAGAATCCATCCTCCCCACATAACATCCCCTCCTAATCGTTATTTAGTTTTTACTTTTGTACATGGTCGATCTTTGTCTTATTCCCTCGCAGAGTCTTATTCTTGTCTTATTCCGTCTATGACAGACATTTATTGTAACGAAACATTATTTTAATTTCTGACGGTCTCAGTGTTGCAGTTTGGCGATCTCTAAGGTATTGTAATCATTTTTCATACTTTTTGTTCATTTTAATTATCATGTATTATTGTATGTCATTACCATCTTTTATCAATTATTTCGCTCACATTAGTCAATTCTTACAATTTTTTATTTTCTTTCATTTGCTTAATCAGAACCAACAATCTTTCCTGTTTATTATAACATCTATTTATATTCGGATTCGATTCCATTTGCCTGGAGATTCGCCACGATACAGTTACATAGAATTTTCGATATAACTTTAACTTCAGTGTCTCCGTGGACTATCACTAAGCATAAGTTCTGGTTTTTGCGACGGTTCATTATCGATTACTCTGCCAAACGACATTATATAGCCGCATGCAGTCGTAATTATAACTCTATTTTTACAAGTTGACTGAACCTTCTTTACAATTTAACCGGATTTTATTTATACTAATTCATCGAATGTATTATATCTGCGTTGCAAAATCAACAACTTACTCAACTTTTTTATTCACAATTCAATCAAATTATACTTTTCATTTTTACCGATTATATCTTTCTTGAGCGCTTTTGTTAAGATCGTTATATATTTTAAGTTTTGTTTTTATTAATTTTTAATTTGCATACTGAAGATGACTTAATATAAGATCGAAACGATGTTTTTCTATTTATCAATTATTTATGTATTGTTTATTAATTATTTATGTATTGACTTTTCTCTATTAACGATAAACATTATCTGCATGAATATATTGTATTCGCTCTTTATTATTTAATTTTCGAAGTTAATAAGTCTTCTAAGTACGAAAATTACATATATCTTTTAAAGACATCAGAGACATACATTTTTAAAGACATTTTTCAATTCTATCAGTTAGATAGAAAAAAGATTAATTAATTCAATTACCTTTTCAATCGCTGTATATAACATTAATTTTCACAGGTATCATTTATATACTTTTGATCCAAGTGTGTAGAAAGCTAATATACTTTACAACATTGCCAAGCATATTTCAGCGTAATGGAAAACGTATATGTTTTCTAACTGCGAGTACTACAAAATAATAGAGATAGAATATAGTTAAGAATATAAGCGTATACACTTTTTCACAATGTGCGTATATGTAAAATTGCATACAGATTCAAGAATAGGACTCTAGATATTTATGCGGAATACCTCTCATTTCGTGCTTAGGAACTTGCTGCGCTCCCCTCACGACGCTCCCTGTGCCGTATCGAACACCTACCGGCAGCGCCGAGTATTCTATACCGCATCAAATATCGCGACACTCTTTCTTTTTCCCACTCCGCTATCCCCGCTCCTAGATTTCTATCCGATCCGATACTCCCACATCGTTCTGTGCCAAATTCCTCTACGCCCACCGCTGATGCTTATTCAAAAAATAATAATTATTCGACGTTATTTTTTTCGCTTTCGTAGAGGGAAATCTCTTATCGGTCAATCTGAAATCGAACCGTGCCGAATTACTCAGATCGATCTCGTATAAGAATTCAGACCGTCTGACCCAGATTTTCTGATGTACGTTTTGTAAGAGAGATAGTCGAAAAGATTCCGAGTACCGGTCCTCCGACTTGCCTGTTAGGTATCGCTTCGGCACGGCTGAATGCGCTCGATAGACAGAACTCTCCGATCTTCCGATTATCGATATCCGAACTTAATTTTCAGAACCGGGCAAGCCAAGTATCCGAATACCGAAAATTCCACTCGCTTCCAGTACCAGAGAGCTCCCTGGAACAGTCGATAGGTCGAACTTTCTATGACGAAAAACGCAGACTCGGGATCATTTGATGTCCAACTACTGGAGTGGTAGCATCTCCATCACGGATCACAGAATCGCCGTCGTCGTTTGACAGCCCTAAAATTATCGTTGCGGTTGACAATTCACTGTCAACACTGATACGTGTTCGTGACCCGCGCTTCGAGCATCCTGTCTCATCGATTTATCGCACGCGCTGCAATCGCCCTTTGACTGCACGATCGTATACTCATTTCCGCACAACGCGACTTATTATAACACATTTTGTGCCGCGACAAAACGTTATCTTATAATTATGCTGATAATAACGCGGATATAGCGTTAAATCATGTATTCATTTGTCAACCATGATCTTTTTTTTTAATAAAATTAATATCATTTAGAATCAAGCATGTTCTTGAATTCTTTGTCTTCCTCACTGCCCATCTAGCAACCGGTTAAACCGGTTAGTATCCGCACGGGCTATCGTTTTAAAATTAACAGACCATTCGCACTGTTTTCAAAGAGCGTCATAACGTGACATTGATCCGTTTTCGAGGACTTTATAACGCGAATAACTTGCAATGAACATTTAAGATGTTTCCAGCAAGAAATAGTTTGAACATCCTTTCTTTAATCTGCTTCTTAATCCTTTTTTTATATCAATTTCAAATATTAAAAGAATCTTGGACGTAACAGTTTCACGATTTTTCTCTTTCATCACATTATCAAATATCAGATTAAAAATAAATAAGTTATAAGCGAACGATCAAAAAAGTTTGGTGGATTAAAAATAACAGAATATGAAATTTTTCCTTTATTTTTTATTTATCATTGAACAATCTAATTTGGAATAAAAAACGAATATCGAGTTAATTGTTAAGCTCTCGAATCTTTGTCGTATCGTGAGCCATCTCGGCACCGAAAAACACAATTAAGAGTTTACAAGAGATCAAGTTGTTTAAATGCTTGTCTTCAGAAGCGGCGAAATGTTAGCACGATTGCTACATCTAACATCTGGATAAATAATGTTTAATAGTGATCGCACGGACAATTGTCAGTAATCCTTTCGATAAGATTAAGATTAAGAAATAGATGAATACAATATTAAATAATATATAACAATCCTCTACTACCACTGAACTGATAATTTACCCTTATCATTTAATCCAACCCTGAAATTTCAATCCTGAAGAAGTACCTTACCAATTTCAAGACAATAATTTGTCCTATTCTCAAACATGAAGAAGAAGACAATAAAAGAAATGCAGTGAAAACCACAAGGATCAAAATTTAAAAAAATTAAACTTATCATCATCAAAGATCATGTTAAAAAATAATATTATTTACTCTCGGGAATTATTATATATTAAATTTTTAGACTTTTAATTCACAAAAATTATTTAAACAAAACAAATTATCTAAACTAAATTATCTAATCTAAATTATCTAAACGATATCACCCTAGGAAAAATTCATAAAACATAAGAATCATTTTCTGTACTCTAAATGTATATTTCGCAAAATTGTAATAATATTTCCTAAGATACAAATTGCATTGAGAGATATGAAAATTTGGCAGCAATTTCCCTAAAAAATTATGAGCGTAAATATAAAAACACTTGGCTGGTTGGAAAGCTCAACAATTGTTGAATATTAAATATAAAGTATTATTCTTTTGAAATCTTCGAGACAAACAGGTATTGTTGGAAAAAGAGGCAGTGTAACCGCGGAGCGAAAGAGAAAAGAGATATCTTGTCATTTCGCGAACATCGATTTATAGACAGATGTGTTATAAATAAAAATCGTAATCAACCATAATTTGATATTAATTATTCTGAATCTTCACATTCTATAAACTAAAATAATTATTATGTAGAAAACTATGTAATAACTTATTATAATAAATATAATATATATAAGTGCAAATATAATATATATATGCCATATATAACAGTTTTCGTTGTTATTTATATTATCAAAATCTGTTCTTTTCGGTTTATACATCAGCAATGGCAAGCGATAATCAAGAAATTTGAAAATGTAGAGTGATATTTCTGTTCTCTGTCCGAAAGTAACTGAATGTTGAGCGCATGTCTAATTACGTGGGTAGTGGTATTGCGTAGGAGACATTTCCTCGCAGACATTGGAAGGATCCGATTAGTCGAGCGCGATACATCATCTGGAAGTAATGTAACTTTGAGGGAGCTTTCAGAATTAAATTTTCATTTTTTTTTGTGCTAGTAATTCGATCTTAACCTTAACATGTATCAAAGTGACTCTGTATGTTAAACTGTGATGTGAACAACAACGAGCTTGCATCATTTTCGATAATTTTTTGAAAAATTTCAAGCTCAACAAGTATCGTAACTTTCTTAATATTACAGAGAAAACCAGAGAGGACCCAGCATTGCGATATTTTTTTATTAAAGTGCGGCAGCTCCCATTATCATCTATGACGAGTGACAGTGACTTTTTTGAAGTTTATCTGCCTGAGAAGGGAGACAACAATAAATATCAGGCACGTAACATTTTTAATTCTACAGAGAAAATCGGAGAATATGGTGACTTTTATGAAGTTTATCTGCCTGAGAAAGTCAAGTGTCATATACCGAATTCTTCCGTTGAACATCGGGGCATTAGAGAATGTATCCACAGACTCGGCCGCAATATTTCGAAATTTTTCTGTTGGAATGGGCAAACCGAGATTGCAGAAAGAATTCCTGTTCCAATTCGCTCAAGAAAACTAGATTTTAGTAAGTAATTTATTGCCGTTAGTTGCTCTTTCATTTTCAAAGGGAACAAGTTAGTCAAGGAAAAATCAAGATGCCGGCAATATATGATTTTTACATATCATTATGAAAATGAGCCATCGATAGCATCTATCCATGACATTCTCAGAACATCAAGATGATGTAAAAATGATTTATAATTTCCTTTTTATAAAGTAATTTATATAAATTGATACATTAGAAGCATAGATTGGAGTAATATAATAAATATTGTTTGGAG